ATTGTGTAATTCGATTATGTAAACACAGATACACTTGCGTTTACAGATATGTAACTAAAACTTAATCCTGATGAGACTCGAACCTGCTGTCTGTAGTGATGTTACCGTCCCCTACTCAGCCCTGTGTAGAGGTGTAGAGTATCCGCTGAATATCTGATTCCTCTGAAAGAAAGAAATCCACTTGATTTCTGCAGCAGTAACTAAAGTATGGGCAGTACTATGGGAAATACATGAAACATTTAATCAAAATAGGAATTTAAATCACGTGACTGGTTAGTCACTCATTTCTGAGATCCATAGGTAAGTAAACATGGTGTGTGTATCATATGTATACATATTCATACATTGGCATGTAACATATGTGTGACATGCACCGTGCATGTACATGCATATACCTATGCTGTGTGTACATATGCACACATATATGTATGTATGTGTGTGTACATATTAAATATATATTAAATTGTGTAACAATGGTGAAGGCAGTTTTAAAGCCATTATATTTTGTTAAGGGGTCAGACTTTTTTTTTTTTTTTTAGGAGTCAGACTTTTAACTCAATTCCCTATGTTATGATTTTCCTTATATTCTAGCACGGCAGAACTAGTTTACAAAGAGCTTAGAAATCAATTTCCTGGACTTTACAGGAGCTTGCTCCAAAGCCCACCACAACTGTTTACTCCATTCACCTAACACATTCTTAGATGAGCCAAGGATTAGGCCATCTGTCTCTTTTTAAACCCCTACCTGTCTCTTCCCCTGCCTGAACCCCACCTTGCTATTTCATGGAGAAAGTGCGTCACTGAGATAACATTCTGTCACCGAAGCCACAGTGTTTCTACGTGAATTCTCCACCTTCTTGCCTTTGTCTGTGTGGAATTCATTGCTTCTGTCTAAACCTGTGCCCCTACCTAAGCAGGGAAGTGTACTAGCAATTCTTTCTTCATTTTTACGTGTCGTCGTATTTATTGGCATCTACTGAAAGGGAAATACCAAACTGGGACATTCCAATTCCTTTCCTTTCACCAGGTCAGGTCAGCAACTTGAAATTTTTGAAAAGGTTTATTTGTTTATTTTATGTGTTTGACTTGTACTGTGTGTGTGCCTGGTGTCAACAGAGGTCAGAAGAAGGCATTGGATCCTCTGGGACCTCGGTTACAGATGGTTATGAGCCACCATATGGACCTGGGCACCAAACCCCGGATAATCTGCAAGAACTGGTGCTCTTAACCACTAAGCCATGGCTCTCCAGCCCCTTAACTTCTCTTGCTGATGGGAATTGGGTTATATTTTTATTTAAATTTATTCAAAGATAGCAAGTTGGGAGCAGTTCATATTTAAGACAAACCCATTATAACCATTAAAAGAGAAAGTATAAATTTCATCTTATGCTATTTGCTGCTCCTAATGAAAAGTGTATGCTTTGCTATTTAACATAATGTAATACATCTTTGTAAGACTAAATAAAGAAGTCCACACATAAAAATCTACATAATTGTACTAATCATGATTGGAAAGTTTTAATCTTCAGGGAATACCCTTTGGCCTTTGAATAGCATTGTGCAACTGGCATGCTTTAGTAAAATTCAAATAAACATTATGTTGCCCTTATTTAAACTATCAGTTTCAGTATGACCTCATTAGGTCTGGGAAGAAGGCTGGAGCTGGTATCATGGGTCTATGATGGTCTATTCATCCTACTCCGTGACCAGGGATGTTCATAACATAATTATCTTCTACTTAGGATAATTGTTATGATAATTGCTCTCTGACAGTGAAGCTGACTGACTGCAGGAGGCTGTGAGGACGAGCGAGCTGCTCCTATCGGGAGCCTCAAGCTCATCTGTGACAGCTTCCGTAGAATTTTTGTAGAGCCGGTGGAGCATCCGTTAGAGACCAACAAATAAAAATAAAATAAAATAAAATAAAATAAAATAAAGAAGTCCTTTGGCCACAGAGCTATCCAAGACCATCCTCTAGGGCCTGACATGCTAGCTTTCTTTGTACGCATCTGTCAGTGGCTGACTCTCCACAGACTGTATGACTAGGGTGAGGGGTAGAGAGCTGGAGTGAGCAGAAACAGCTAAACAGAGACAGTTGGAGCTATGTTAGGAGATATTTCTGGAACCCTTTTTGGTCTCTAGGCCATAGGCCAAGTAGGCTTATGTTAGAGTGAAGGACCAGAGGGTGGTGGTGACACCCAGTAGCTTGGCTCTTTAGCAGTGAGTCCAGTAACTGCATTGCTCGCCTTAGAACGAAGTGTATTCATCTCCAGAGGACGTTCATGATGAAAGCCACAAACCGATGAAAACTGCGTAAGGAATCAGAGTTGAGGCATAGGGATGAACTGCAGAGGTCTATGGGACTCTGTGGAGGGCGCTGGGCCAAAGGCCTGTAGGGGCTGCCACAGCAAAGGTACACAGAAAAACAGTCCTGAAAAAAAAAAAAATAATAAACTTGCAAAGTAAAGCTATCATGTTCCCAAACTAACTTTCAGGCTATTAAAAACCCTTAGAGTTAACCCTTTATGGTTGATACTTCATCCCGAGGAATTTTTCATTGCTTTCTGCTCATTTGTTTTCCCAGAGTGAACGTAGCTATGTCCTTCCTCACAGTCTCCCTAAGTAACTGTGGTACTTTTTAGAAGCTATGAAGCCACAGTATTTTAGTATTTCAATTCTTATTGCATGAAATACTGTTTTTTATCTTGAGAAAAAAAGAGGTAAAAAAGAAAGATATTCAAATAAATGAAAATCATTTACCATTGCTACTGACATACTACTCGGCCTCGAGTTGGTTCAAGCAAAACAATCAGAAAGTGTATGACGTTCCTCATGAACGGCAGCAGCGTTCCCTTGGGATCCTGATCGGCTACTATGAGAATCAGTTACTCGTGACTTTTTTTTCTTTGGGGGGGGTACCAGTTAACTTTTTAACACCATGTAAAATATAATTTTCAGGTCTTCAAAATTCCATACAAACATACTGGTCTGAAACTACCATGCAGCTAAATTTACTAAAAGAACTTGGACTTGGGGGGAAGGGTGGGCAAGGTCGGGTTTGAGTGACCACTCCATTGCTTGTAACCTGGGACAGTTTTGGCTGTGGTGTGTTCTGCTTTTATGAAGTGGGTCTTGCTCTTTAGCCCGGGCTGACTTTGAATGTGCTCTCACCCTGCCTAAGCCTTCCAAGGGCTGGGGATACCTATGCGTGCCACCACGCCAGACTTCTGACACAGCTTCTGGAGACGATTTCCCCATCTAGGATAAAGAGCCATTGGTGACTTAGTGCTCTGTGCACAGCACTCAGCCCACTGCCTGCCAGGTGCCACATCCCTGGTCTCGCTTTTATACTTTACTGTAAACTAGGTCAGATACAAGGTGGAGAGCCACCAAGAAAAGAATGGGAGCTTTTAACGTTTGCATCATGGGTTGATTCTTATCTCCTTAAGTACTGGAAACAGGCTGAAGACAGGGTAACTAAGGCATGGCTTTTATATTCTTAAAACACCTCCACTTCATTACCTGGAGGGGGAGGTGCTCCTCTCTTGTGAAGTAGTGTTTATTGCTTCAGCAACCTGTTTAAGTTCACTTCACAAGGTAATCCATAGTCAGACTTTAATTCTGTGTGTCCAGGCAACAGATCACGGACAAGTTACTAGTCAACCTTAAGCAATGTGACATATGCCCACATGGCACCTTGGTACAGAGTTGCAAGAAGCAAAACTGGGCTGAATGATTCACGGTTACTTTGGGTGCCTTGTACCTTATAGCTAAAAAGCAAGTTAGAAAGGGATGCAGGACTAACACACTGGGGCCCTGGGAGGGGTCTGAGGATGTAGTCCTTGGAGCCATAACAGAGTTCAGTGACCATGGAATGACCACATTGATTCATGGGTATCCTGATAATGACTGTGAAAAAACATGGATGTAAATATAATGAATTCTACAACAACCAGCCCCGGAGTTCCCGCTACTGATGTTGGAACAGGACTGTGGGCTGGCCCTGTGTCTATGCAGTCTATTTTCCCGGCCACCTTACCTTAAGCCCTGACGGAGCTTTCCTGGTAAACCTGGAAGGCCCACGAGTCTGAGGCTGGGAGCAAAGCAGCTTGAGCTCAGTCTCAGAGCTCATCCTGATTGTTGGTCTAGAAGGCTGACCTAGCTTTGCTGCCCCCAATGTCTAGATCATCTCTTGGGACACACTGTGTCCCAGATTTTTGTCTATAACTAGTCTATAACCACATGCTTGCCTTCTACAAGGCCAAGGTGCATCAGATTCTGTTTGATCTTGCCCCCAGGATAGAGGAAACATGGGAAGGCTGAATAGCCATGCCACAAATAACGGCCTCCTTCACTTATCCATCTCCTGAATCTGCATGTATTGCCAATGAGAACAGATACTTACCTGTGCACTTTCCGAAGCACCACACAGTGAAGGATGGCTAATTAGTGAACCCGAAGAGGGAAAAAAGGGTAGGATAAAAAGGTCATTGCTTTCACAGCTCTCTGCAGCCACAAATAGTGGTTGCTAAGACTGGAGCATATATTCTCTAGTTATTTTTCCACTCCAAATACTATACCATTGGGAATCAATCATTAATGATTCATTGAAGGGAATGTTCAGGGTAGGGAGGCAGTTTCTATGTTTTGTTTTGTTTTGTTTTTTCCACTCAAACCAAATTAGACCACGCAAAACAAATGTGCGTGTGTCCTGGTTTCCGGTTGTTGTCTGCTACAGGGTTTCGCTCGTCTATCTTCACTTTTATTACTTCAGTGCTTGCACAGAGAACAATAGCTTTTTGTTTTCTAGTTAAGACGAGGGTGGGTGTGGCTGAGGGCCACCACATTCACTGAGAACCCTAACAAGTTGCCTTGTGATGAGGAACCAGTGAGGAGGACAGGATTCCAACAGCTTTTGAGTGTGTCTTTGTAATTGACCGGGAGAAGGGAAGGCCACCTTTATTTCTTTTCTTTCTGTTTTTCCTCCCATCCCTCTTTAGACAAAACCTGTTGCATTTGCAGTTCGGACCAACGTCAGGTACAGCGCAGCCCAGGAGGATGACGTCCCGGTGCCAGGCATGGCCATCTCCTTCGAGGCAAAGGATTTTCTGCATGTTAAGGAAGTAAGGAAAACTTTCAGCTTTCTTCGGTGTGAAGGTGATCTTCTCGCCTTCGACTCTCACTGCCTTCTTACTGCTGTGAGGAAGCATCCGGTCTAGCTGCGGCCGTCTAAAATACCACTAAATCCGGGGCTCACAGCCTTTTCTGGTATAAATAAACTTAATGAGGAAGGAGGCAGAGGCTCATGGTAGGAGCTGGGGCCCCTCTGGGCTTTGTGCACTAGAAATTAGGAACTGTTTTGTTAGATAGTCCATTTTTATGTGTGACCTGCACTTTATCGTTAAATGATTAACCTTGATTAACTGCGCAATTTTCCCTGATGTGTGAACTTGGAACTATGCTAAGGAAGAGGTTTTTTTTGTTTTGTTTTGTTTTGTTTTTCTGAGACAAGACTTCACCCTGTGGCCTAGGACTTTCTATGAGGCCCAGGCTCTGAAACTCACTATAAACAGGCTGACCTCAGACTTGCTATATTCCTCCTCCTATCGCTGTTCCATCTCATTCACCTGAGAGCTAGAACTGTCGTGGTGAGTCACCATGCCTGCCTCCTGGGAGAAGGTTTTGTGGCATTCCAGCAGAGGAGCATAGTTTCTGCAGTGGCAAGAGATAGCGGGAACCAGAACAAGTGAGACGAGAAGCTGATGCCAAGGAATTTCCTCTTCCCCTGAGCTGACAATGACAGTCCGAACATTGGGGAAATTCACCTTTAATTAAGTTTTATTAGGTGTTCACATGTCACATACTTATTCTGTGGGCTACCACAGTGACAGTAAGTCTTCCTAGATGACAGCCTGTGTGCACACAAGCTTTTTATTTTTTGATTTTTTAATTTGCAGTTGGAGGAATTCACGGGGAGCTTATGGAAATTAACTGACAAGTGAACTAAAGGGCGAGAGGGAAGGAGATGCTGACTGCCCATTAGGAGAGCTCACAGCTTCAAAGCCCATAAACGCACACATTCAGAAATGATGGTGAACCACTCTACAACAGGAAGTTGCCTAACATAGGGACTTTCTTGATGCCAATACTTTGAGCAGGACCATTTCTTATTATGGAGAGAAAAACCAGGAGCAGCCTTTGAGATGTTTGAGAATAGATTTAATTGAGGAAAATAAAATTAGATTGCGAAGATTCAAGATAAATACTTTACCTGCAAGAGATAAACTGTCAGCACAACATGAGAAAAAACATGTGTGAACACAGTACTATATGATTATAAAATTGCACAGAAGTACACTTTGCTGGTACAAAATATTTCAGGTACGCTTAATATCTCTCTCAATATTAATACTTTGAGTTAATCCCATATTATAAGGGAAAGGGCTCCATAAGGCTTTCCAAGTTCCTGTCTTTTGCTAGGTATGGACAATAACCTTGGAAGCTTAGCACAGACTCAGCCTGGTCCGAAAGGCAGCACTGGGAAGGGGAATGAACACAAGGGAACACAAAGCCTTCATTGAACTGCTGGCTGATAGCACCAGGCATACCTCACTCTTTTGAGCTGAACCCATGAAGCCAAGGGCTTCTTGAATTTTCGTATTAGATGCATGCTTCTAACTGCCATGTTTCCCTCTGTTGAAAAAAGTTATAGACGAAATCAATTCGGATCTTTCTGTGTACTAATTCATTCTAATACTTTTGATTTTGTGTGTAGAAATTTAATAATGACTGGTGGATAGGACGATTGGTCAAAGAAGGCTGTGAAATCGGATTCATTCCAAGCCCGGTCAAACTAGAAAACATGAGGCTTCAGCATGAACAGAGAGCCAAGCAAGGGAAATTCTACTCCAGGTATGAGGAAAACACCAGCTGTTTATGTGTAAATGCAGACAATGCCCTCTCTTCTGCCCTGTTACTGCTAAGAGTGGCCATCCTTATGTGTTAAGCAGATGCTAATACAATTCATGGACAGCATCGCGGTTCCCTTTAAAAACACTCCATCCCTGCTTCTGGTTTCTAGCCTACTTGAGAGAGAATCAGATTATGGTCATTAATAAATGAAGCTAAGGTCACAAAGCATTAAGGTTTGCCTTCAGCGCGGAGACCCTGAAGTTCTAATCATTTGCTGAACATACTCAGGCACGTAGCAGCCACGGTGACTAATTCCAGTGTCTGACTGTAGCTGTCCTAGGAGGCTGGGAGATTCTTTAGGGATATCAGTCCCGGACATCACTGGCCAACAGCAGCTTCTGTGGTCTGTTAGTTTCATTTTCACCCGACAGATTCAATTTCCAGTTCTCCTAGCTGTTGAGCGTGTAAAAAGACACTATGCATAAAGCACATCAAAATGGCCTTTGCAAATAGGAGTTAGCTGAGTTATATAAGAGGCCAGGCCTATTACTCTGACTGCACCTTCCTGGGAGGCTTAAGCTTCCCTCCCTTCACTAAGATATTCCTGAGGTGGGCTTCTCATCCCTGTGGTGAATTTCATATTGAAGTCTGTATAGCCAAGCTGGAGAACACAGCATGCTTCTTCTCACATGGATGGATGGAGGGGGATAAAAAAGACTTTACCTTCGTGTAGATAACTGAGTTTCTGTTTTCACTCCTTTCCATCTTGCTCATTTATACAATGATGTCATAAACTATGTTGTTAGTGATTATATTTTAATGTTATCAGTATTTTTCACCTACTGTCAACAGAGGAGTGAAATAGAATATACCCAACCTAATTAAGAGTAACATTTGATCATTGTTACACTCCCAATATCTCTCAATTTATTCTACTGAACTGGTTAGTTTTTCTTATAACTGTATACTCCAACTTCGATGATTTGATTTTACTGTATTTCTTTAACAACCGTTCTCTAGTTATGAGTGAGTAATGTTTACATTTGCCTCTTAACACTTTGGATATTTTGTGAGGACATAATCAGAGTCAGTGGGGTTTTGTTGTTGTTGTTGTTGTTGTTTTTTCAAGACAGGGTTTTTTTGTGTAGCTCTGGCTATCCTGGAACTCACTCTATAGACCTGACTGTCCTCGAACTCACAGAGATACGCCTGCCTCTGCCTACCAAGTGCTGATATTAAAGGTGTGTTCCACCAGGCCAGGCTCAGACTCAGAGTTTATATATATGATATATAATAATATATAATATATTGTATATAATACATATTTCAGAAATATATTGAAATTTGTGTATATATGCAAACATATGCTTATCCGTATACTTATCTGTATTATATATACACATATATATGCATATATATAGATATAGATAGATATTCAAAGATTTCAAAGTCTGATAAAAATCAGGGACTGGAGAGCTGGCTCTGTGATCAAGAGTAACAGTTACTCTTCCAGAGTACCCACATAACTGTTACCCACATGGAGTCTAACATCTGTATCTCCAGTTCCAGGTGATCAGATGCCCTCTTCTGGCCTCCAAGGACATTGCATACAGATGGTATATTTACATGTGTGTAGACAGAACACTCACAAATAATAATAAAAATGTTTTAAAAGGCTAACAGACATCAAAGGCAGTGATATTGGCACACGGTTCAAGACTTTGGCCTATGGATGGCATTCAAAGGACCCCTCTGCCTCTGAACAGTTTAGGGCTTAGCAGCACCTGTCTAAAAGTAAAGCAAACTCATGCTTGAACTAAGGTGGGACTTAGGATTTGCGGGAATACAAACCAAAGGTAAAAGGCACAGCAAGGAAGTGCTTGGTCTTAACCATCAGCATCTTTGTGGAATTGCCAAAAATGATGATGCTGTAAGTTCTACTTTTTATGAGCTGTATACACTCCTGTGTGTCCTTATTGGATGTGCACAAGTATTTAAACTCTTAGCAACACAGAGTGAAATGCTTGGGATTGGCTTTGTGTATTAAAATGCTAGAAGACTAAAAAAAAAAATCAACCAATCAGTGAGGGCAGATATTTTTCCTGCATGCCAGTATCTAGTTTTGTCAGCAGCACCCTTGAGGCACAGCCGTGGTCCACAATCCTTTCTAGCAGGACCTGGTCCATCCATGCTAAGAAGCATTGGGCACTGCAGTTATCTTGCCTGAATTCCATGATGTTCTTATTCTGTCAGCACGTTTCTGGGATCTTCATGTGTTAAGAGTTGACACACATTTATATGTACTGGTGAGCCATACATTATACTAGCAACTCCAAAGTACCTAAGACTTAAGCATAGGCTCCATCTCATCAAAATCTTGTAATTTATATTCTTTACTTTTAAAATTATCATACAACATATCAGATATCATTATGGCATTTTCTTACAAGTATGTTTTAGTAGATACCCCTTTGCCCAGTTCATAAGTGTTGAATAAAATCTTCACAATGCAATCAAGTTGAATCCTTCTTGTTAGTCCTGTTCTGAAAATGTTCGCTATCAATTTCTAGTTAATTCATATTACAATCTAATTCATATTACAATCTGTATTTAAGTTTCTTCTTTTGTCTTAAAGGTCGATAAATTGGGGTATCATTATGATTTTCATAACCATTATGAAAATGATTATGCAATTGCCATGCAAGGTATACTTTTAATCTTAAGATACTAAAAATAATCAATCTAAGTCAAAGGAACTGGTGTTAGTCTTGAGGTCTTATACCTTGTCTACAAGTTCTCTAAATATAAAGGCAAAGGAAATCTCTTCTGTCTACCCATCTGTCATCTGGGCATGGAACTAGAGGGCCGTAGAAATTATCCAACTCTTCCCCCTAGGGACTCTAAAAAATTAATCCCTGGGGGCTGGAGAGATGGCTCAGAGGTTAAGAGCGGTGACTGCTCTTCAAAAGATTCTGAGTTCAGTATCCAGCAACCACATAGGGGCTTACAACCATCTATAATGAGATCTGGTGTCCTCTTCTGACATGCAGGAATACATGCAGGCAGAACATTGTATACATAATAAATAAATAAATAAATAAATCTTTTAAAAAACCTATTAAGCCCTGAACTTCAAAACAGAGACTACCATAAAACTGTTTCAAGGACTTCAAGAATCTCCATTGGGAAATGACTGTTTGTTTCCTTGTTAGAAATACACATTTTTGGTTCTTTTAATTAAAAACTCAATAAATTAGAACATTTATTGAGCAATACAATGTTTTAGCATATAAAACAATTGTTAAGTTTAATCTGAGTTTTTGCTTTACTTCAGTAAATCAGGAGGAAATTCTTCATCCAGTCTGGGTGACATAGTACCTAGTTCCAGGAAATCGACACCGCCATCATCTGGTAAGTAGGGGATCAGTGCTGGCCACTGCATTTGCCTTTAGTGCTTCCCCAGACTCCAGTAGTTATGTGGATTTCAAACCTGCAAATGTGAAAGTGTACCAGGAAGAAAAAGGTCCCCATGAAATTAGGGACAGAATGGGCTGGGCTTTTTTTTCCTTGGTCTTGAAAATCAAGCAAGGAAATAGCCTGTGCTGCTCTAAGTTCTTACAGAAGTGACAGCTGTAATCTAATTGCATACCTTAGTCCTACCATGACATGTTGTCAAGGGAAGAAAAGTTTTATGTGAGCTGAAATTTAAATTTCAGTTTATTTTATTGTATTTTGTCTGATAAATCTGTCATTGCAAAGCTGAAGTTCTTCTATAAATACTTCCTGAAAGTTGAAACCATTTATCAAGTAAATATTTAGTGAAATGTTTAAGTGAGCAAAATCTGAGCACAAAAAGAAACGTCAGTTTAGGACCTATAGTGGTTGGAAAAACTCACAGCAATTTGAAGGCACTGAAAATTAAACCAGTCTGCTCAGAGTAGACACTGAAGACCTTGCCGTGATAATGCAATGCGGGGCATGGCTACCACGGTGGAGGAGGTGTCGGGAATCCCTGCAGGCACAAGGGAATACTTCCATTCCTGCCCTTGTTCAAATGTGAAGTTACAGGGATTCCTCTCTAGCCATTACAGATACCCTAACCATCTAAAAGCTGTCTCTGAAGACTTGTAGGGGCCCTAACATGGAAGCAAGTTACATCCGATAAAGCCCTGCTGGAGACAAGTAAAGTTCTTCCATGTTCTCTAATAACACAACCTCGACTTGTGTTAATGCAATGCTGAAAAGCACCTGTGTACTGGAGAACAAGCAAGGCAGTGTGAACGTGAAATAATACTTAATTTTGAAGTCACGTGTTATCATCACTAAAAGCCAACATAGAGACTGATTGACCTGGAAATAAAACCAAATGTAAGCTGTCCTAGCAGACTAAAGCTTGGGCTCTGTGATGAGTTTCATATCAATAGCTCAATGGATCTAACGGGGATCCTCACAAAATCCTAGAGAAAAATTTCCCAGTCCACTTCCAAGCACAACTAACCGTTTCAGAGCAAATGTAGACCGGCCTCCAAGGGTAACCTTTCATTTGTTTTGCTTACCAGAGTTCCTAACTATAATTTCCAACTCCCTGCTAGACCAAGGAGTAATTTCAAATCCCCATGAAATGGGGTAATCTCCAGATGCACAACACATAACTCACACTGCACCTGTGCATAGACTTCATCCCCAAACTTGGTTTCACTTGATCCAAGCTCTAAGAGTAAGCTAAAATGTGTTTCTGAGTTTCCCTAAATAAATAAGGGATGAGACAAGAAAGTAAGCAATAGTGAGGAATAATCACATATTTATAGTTTGTGGAAGCACTGCTCCCATGTAATGCTAATGTGTGCTAAGGGGTGGGAATACAGGTATGTAATTAAAGGTTGGTGGCATCTCTCAGGAGAAGAATCACTTGAGTTCAATGGCATGTATAGAAAACAGGGAAAAGTTGAAAAGCGTGTTTCTTAATGTGTTCTGAATATGATATTTTAGAAATCTTTCAGAATGAGTCGAGACACTTCTAGACCTAAGTTGAAGCAAAAAGTCACCAAGTACTAAGCTGGAAAGGGATTTGGGGCCCTTAGTGTTGAGGTGTAGGTGAGTTTCCATCTGGAGCTCAGGGTTTGCACGGGTGGCTGAGTATCTCATCCTTGTCAAGGCTAGACCTGTATGCATCCCATTCTTTATGATTTTCCAGTTTTAATTCCTTTAATTTCCTTTTAAACAAATCCATCTGATGACCATAGCAGATGAGATTCAGTGGAGAGATCCTAAAATCCAACTCAGAAATGTCACCATCCTGAAGGGCTGTGAGCTCTTGTGTTTGTCGGGGTTTCCAGCCTCAGGTCCAATCAAGTTCTAGGAGGCTACTGGTCCTTGAATGTGGCTTTCATAAACCCAGTAAAAGGTAGGGAGGATAAAGTATAAGGGAATACACCACCAAAAAGGAAACATATTTGATGTTGGTTAAGACCTATTATTAGAAGAAGGAGATAGTAACCTAGATCCTTGCTTTCCTATCTGGAAGTTGTTAATAGCAAGCTTCCTTATTGGGACTCATAACCTGCTTCCCATCCTCCTCAGGTTAAAACCTACTCAAGAAGCTCCATACAGAAACCTTCCAACATGAGCAATGCTATAGTGTGGTGTGAACATCTAGGTTGGTTCCAAACACCTGAAAATTTCATGACTATGACATTCCTCTGCAGATCAAGGTCTGAACCTTTAACTAATTAGTATGCAAAGACTGAAGAAAAAGAAAATCCCTACTCATAAAATAACAGAGTTGGTATTGCAACATTGTGCAGATAAGTCAGTTGTTCACTTCTGTACAGACTTCTGAACTAATCAAACAAAAAGCACCTAAACAGGAAATCCCCAATATTCCAAGTCTGAAGCCGCTCAGACCACGGTAACTGCAAAACTGCAAAATGCTGTGCCAACATCAGATGATCTCAGATCCTTTGAAAAGGACAGGGGAGGTTTCTGTAGGCCTCAGCTCAGCTTGTATATCACAGGGCAAGGTAGCTGAACCTAAGCACCAAACTATAACTGGTTTTTTTGTCCCCTCTATCAACACATTATGGGATTTGTTAACATATTCTGCCCCAGGCTTACTGGGGTGAATAAGGTTTCCTTTCTTCTGCTTGACCTAATCTCAACCATAAAGTAATTACCTAGCAGGCTCAAATCTGATATCGTTCAGAACCATGACCCCAAGGACATGACCAATGGGGAAATAAAAGGAATAGAAAGAAGGCCTTCAGAGGGTACCTCACCTACTAGGTGGTGCAGGAATGGGTACAACTCTAAGGCAGGACGGAGCGTTGGGTCTGCAACCTGGTACTGCTGGACTTCTGCCAAAAAGGAGGCCACTTTCATTCTGTGGGTTCAGTTTTTAAGTCTTAAAAACCAAGACTGTTTGAATTGATCTTTGAAACTTACTATTCTGTAGTTGATAAAATTTTACAGTAATTTCATGTAGAAAAATTTCAGGAACTTGAAAATGAAATTACGCATCCTTTTTTCAGTGACTAGTGTTAAAGCTGTATTGTCAGGCAAAAGGGTTTCAGAAGAGACAACAGGTCAAGCAACCAACCTAGAACCTTTACTCATGAGGAAACAAGAGGCCTGTTACTTGGGCCTTTGGGGTCTTGCATTCTTCCTCAGAAGCTTGGAGACCACCTAAATCTTAACTGATTTTGATATGATGATTTCATTAATTTGGTGTTTCCCACTGGTCTTCAATCAGACTCTCGGAGGGCACACACACACTTCCTTGAAACCACTGCAGCCCTGCCCATTCCAGATCTGCCTAGCAATCAGTTGCCTTCTCTATGACTTCCTGGGTATTGCCTGGATTAAGGGATTTATATTCTCTTGTCCTGAAATGTCTGTTGTAATTTTCATGAAACTTTTTATGTGGTTCCCTTTCTCCTAACATTAAAATCCAACAAAATGAGAAGACTGAGGCCTATTGTATTAAATGTGTCCAGAGTACTTATCTAAGAGATAAATGAAGACATTGCATTGAGACCAAATGCTTTGTACCTTACATTTATAAGCTAATATGGAGAAAAGAAACATTTGAGATGAGACAGTGAAAAAAAACGTTTCTCCAAAAGTACTCAGGAGATCAAGCACAAAACCGACTTCTGTGAGAAAGAGCTATTACAAGGCTATCTTTCTGTCTAGTTATATATGATGGCATTGCATTTTAACATGTCTTACATTTATATTTTACTCTGTAATGTGCTGCTCACTCGTGACAAATCTTCTACAGTGGTTAGTTTATTTGCTTTCATTTTATTTTCTTTATAACCTGCTTTTCCTCTCCCATCCACCTGACGACTTTTGAATTGTTTGTCTGTATATAGCTGTAGACATAGATGCTACTGGCTTAGATGCAGAAGAGAATGATATTCCAGCAAACCACCGCTCCCCTAAGCCCAGTGCAAACAGTGTAACGTCACCCCACTCCAAAGAGAAAAGAATGCCCTTCTTTAAGAAGGTAACACAGATTTCCCAGCTCCTGTTGTCCACTTGCTCAGCCGCACTGCGTCACAGTTCCAGTCCTGTTGGTTGTCTGTGTCCTTTGACAAGTCAATAACACGCATGCTCTGTTATTCTTTGTTTCTTTTCCACGCTGCTGTAGCTAAGCAGAAGCAGAAATCGGTAAGTCGACATTGACATACCCGTGTTTTTCCTGCCGCTGGCATCATTAGCATCAAGCCCTTCAGTTTTATTAAGTACAGTCTTCCCAGGCCTAAGACAGCCTATCAGTCGATAACTGAATCCATATATCTTCCACCACCACCATTCAGTGAGTGGCCTGTTGAAATGCCGTCACAGTACTTATCCTTTTTGATGGAATAAAAAGGATCTTTTTGATCTGCCACCAGGGATTTTGTTTAAATCCTCGAAGATGTCCCACACTGGCCATGCTGTACAGCACACCTCAGTTGTACATGCTTTTATTGTCTGTCTTTTTGCCAGAAGCATAATTTATAATAAAGCATATTAAAGCAGTTATTGGATTCTGATTTATAATATCCAGATACATTGCTTGTTCTTTAAACAAGAGGTTATTCAATTTTGAATTCAGTCAGTTTTTAAACTTCTAATCCATTAGGTGCAAAATCTGCTGATGAACAAGACCAGTGGAAAACTACAGGCTTGTTTTGGCGGTTTACTGTGAGTTTTTCCTATTGTCATATACAAACACTCTCCCAATATTCTTGCCTTCTCCATCAGTCAGATTTCAGCATCTCACCTAGTAGACAATATGGCTGCTGGCCACATGCAGAGCCTTTTCCCTTGGCCAGTCGAAATGATATACCGATGCTGTGCCCTGACTGGAAACTCCAAGGAATTCCCAAGACATTTTAATATAAGTTTCCTCTCGGCATGTATCATTGCTTTGTAGCACTATTTTTAAAAGACCTCTCTATTTCCATTTTTTCTTCTCCTTTGACATAACACCTTCCATAGTCATTATGCTTTTAGACTTATAGCCCCCATTGTTACCAAGTCTGGCACAAGCATGGGTATTTTTTGTTTGGTTGGTGTTTGGTTTTTTTGAGACAGGGTTTCTCTGTGTTGCTTTGGAGCCAGTCCTGGAACTAGCTCTTGTAGACCAGGCTGGCCTTGAGCTCACAGAGATCCACCTGCACCTGGATTAAAGGCGTGCACCACCACCGCCTGGCCATGGGTATTTTTTTTTTAACTTATACACGAAGCAAAATTCGTTCTTCCCTAGACTTTCAGCAAATTAAGTCTTACCTCCACACACAAAATCAACTGATTGCTCTATAGATGTTAACAATCAGTTATCATACACAAAAGCAGAAGCTTGTTTTTTCTTTTTAAATAATCATCAAGAAGAGAACTCCAGGCAAAAATTTAAACACCTGGACTTCTGTGTTGACACAGAAAGCCACAACTTGACGATCTTCCACAGGACCGGGCCATCTCTCTGGTCCGACTTTGTCATCACAACTGAGGCTTGCAGCTAGGTAACTGCAGGCGTTTCTTAGACAGTCAATACACTCAGTCATTCTGGACTTCAAGTGGAAACAGTGATATGACCATGCTCATCAGAAAGTACTTTGCAGCTCACCTGCCTGTAAATTTCAAAACATTAAAGAAACTTATCCTAATTTTTTCCACTAAAGAAGTGAAACAAAAAATGGCTTAATCAAAAAGGACAGATAAAAATGTTGTCATTAGCAATATGGCACAGAGTATCAATATTCCATCAAATAAGGTAATTTCTAATGCTGCCCCTCATGGTAGAGAAGCTGATTGATGGCCAGCATGGGTAACCCTTTCCTAGGCTGGCAGTCACAGACTGAAGGAACCAAAGTCCTATCTAATATTGGGCCACTCGGATTTGTTAACAGCTGCTCTTTCGTTGCCTGCAATGTCTGTCTCCATAGGTAATGGTGACAGTGGTGTTCTCACGGCAGTAGCGGAAGGATGTGGCTTCCAGGCACTTTCAGTACAAACCCAAGCGCTATGAAATGCAATCGCTTAATAAATATGCTTCTGATGCCTGCGGCACTGGTGCTTACTCTTGTGTTCCTTCTTCTGTGATAATGTAGACTCAGATGAGAGCTGGCTGTGTGAGCGCCTACCCCAATCGTCTTGTGTCTTAGGCTGCTTTTGGTGCGCTGTTTGTCTGGCTTTTGTGCTGTCAGTGGACTGTGTCTAATTTTTATGCTTTCATTCAAATATGTGTTTATCTTTATCATGTCTATTAAAAGGAAGTTTGGATTGCTAGAGAAAAATTTAAACAGTAAATGGTGAACAGCCCATTGGCAGTAATAGATTTTTCCATTTGATTATATGGTCTATAACTACTGGTGAAAGCTCATATGGACGCTGTTGAATTTGATGTGTGTCTAAATAGCCACGTATGCAAAAGAAAGAGGAAGACAGCAAGTCTATGATGGGTGATTTGAAACATCAGTCAAATGATTTTTAGTGACAGAATGGTGCAAATATTACATGCACACCACTTGATCAAATTCTTAAAGTTCTTTTGTTTTGATGTATGTCATGTTTAAAATATATTTTTCAGATGCTCCTCAAGGGATGATGCATCTCACAGAACTCACAAGTCACTAATAAGAGTAAATTATTTGCTCATCCATTGTCCAAAGCCCAATCTCCTTCCTGCCCATGCATTAAGAGAGGTTATTTCTGCATCACTTTACAATTGCCTGTTACAAGAGCTTGTTTAAATTTCATCAAGCAAATTTATGTTACCTATGTTTCAAATTTTTATTTGGAAAAAAATCAAGTTGAAAATGATAGTTTTAGAAGTGACAGTAAAATTTAGCTCCTACCCTGTTTTTCTAAACAAACAAATTACCCACAGAAGTGTAAAAATCAGTTATAGAACAGAAACTAGCTAATACATGCTTCAGAAACATATTATATATGCAAGGGAGAAAGAAACATTTTGAAGCCACTGAAGCATGGTCAGATAAAATTATGACAAATCATTCACCTTCCTCCAATGCACATAAATCTTGGTTTGAGAAGTTTATAAATGTCAAAAAAAAAAAACAAAAACAAAAAAACCAGAGGTCAAAAATTCCAAAGCCCTAGTCCTAAAGCTGTGACCAGTGATGATAATCACTGTTCGGGCACTAGCATGCCTGCCAATTTCTGCTCCCTCAGAATTTCAGTGGAGTTCCAAGCATTTGGTAGTGAGAGGCACAATGTTTGGAAACTAGGATTTATACAGGTAAGACCAACATATCATATGCTAAGCTGACAGGGATTTATTTGTCATAATTAACCATGATCTTTTGAAGTCTTCAGAAAGTCCAAGTGTTCCTGAAGAGCAATGGAGCACTGGCTAGTTGAGCCTGGTGTACCTAGTATACATTGGGCATGTTTCTCTTTGTTCTACCAAGCAGTTTATATGCAAGGAAACTAGAGACTATTCAGTAATTTGAACCTTAGAAAAAGAAACCTGCCAATCTTTCATTGAGTTGATTTACTTGGAAAAGAGGCAATTACGGAAATATTTAAATGTCTGAAAAATCAGTGTCTTGTATATTAGAGTTCAGAAGAGTACCTTATGCACAAAATATCTCAGACCCACTGTGTTTGAGAAGTCTAAAGTTGCCTTATCTCTCTGCAGACAGAACACACTCCTCCTTATGATGTGGTACCTTCCATGCGACCAGTGGTCCTCGTGGGCCCTTCTCTGAAGGGCTATGAGGTGAGTAGGAGTTGAATTTGAGCGAGGCTCACAGCAGCCAAGCAGGTTGTTTTTCAGGCTGTGGTGTGTTTTGTTTAGTGTTCTGATTTCCTGAAGGTTGCCATGGATACTCCTGCTAGCTCTAACGCACCATATCCAGGAAACGATATCAAATGGAGAATGTCTGCAAGCCCTGGCAAAGGAATCTCTTGTCACTAAAACATCCTAAGATCAGAAATTTTATCTTGTCATTTATTAGGGCTTGGAGACAGGAAACGTGGTAACCACACCTCTTCCAAATGTGGCGCTCAGGTTTTCAGCTGTTAATGATGAGAAGTAAACTTGGTTCTCATAATCAGTAACAATTATTTATCCTCAGGTTTTCTCACATTTTAATTTATTATCCAATTACAGGTCACAGATATGATGCAAAAAGCACTGTTTGATTTTTTAAAACACAGATTCGAAGGGCGGTAAGTATTGCACAATGCTGGTTTTGTGTATGTTTGTTTTGAAGATGGTCAAACTCTGTGGGGCAGATAGTCGATCCCAAGGGTAAACTGTTTTGTCCTCTGGACAGGAAGTGGGCTTCATTTAGTGCAATCTGATCTCATGTTTGCACTGTGCATCCTCATCCCAGGATAGGCCAGTGTGTCCAGCACGTGTGTCTGTAAGCTGACTGTGGCCCACCTCTGCTCACCTGCGGTTCACAAAGCCGTACTTACTTGACGCTGCCCAGATATCAAAAACGCACCCTCTTCTATTCACTTTCCCACCCTTCCAAAAGACTTTGCTATTACCTCCTCCCCCATCACCCTTTAACCCCTTCTCACAGTGCTTTCCCACAGTGAACTTATATCCTTGCTGCAGGGAGGAAATAGGCAAGCTGGGACCGACACAGGCCTGTAACTCTAGCACCTGACCTGAGGCAGAGGAATATGGCAAGACTAGGTCTCTTTCTGGAGGTAGGAGGGTTAGAAGCCAACAGAAGGCATGAGTTACCCCCACTACATTTATGTCTGCCTCAGTGTTCTGCATTTCCCCTTCCGAGGGTTTTCTTAGCAATGGTTAACTTAACCCACAGCCACCTAGGTTCTAGACCACATTCCCCATTTCCTTCCCATTTAACTACCCAGACAATGTCCTCACCGTACATCCCTCTCATCAGTATTTCCTATCCTAAGGGAGACACCATTAGCTGTAGTTATCTCTCTCCACACTTAGCCTAACATCCTTCCCACCTATCACCCAGCTCCCTAATTTCCCCCTTCTTCATAGAGAACTCACTGGGTTGTTCATACTGTGGCTGTTCCCCTGCTTTCAAATCCACCCCAGTTAGATTTTCCCTGACACCCACTTCCTCAGCATGATGGGTGCTCCAGCCAGCTAGGCCCATGTCCACATCAGCGTCTGTTCCTTGCTCTTCCCTCTGGTAGGAACTTTTTCTTCAAATCTTTCCTGGTGGCACAGCCTCTCTCCCTTCTCCACTTTCCTGGTGTTCTTTTATGTGTATGACTCTCTGTTATCCTCTCCAACAAGAATGTGAGGGCGGGGTATTCACTGGTTAGTGACTTCTGGAACTCTCGGTGCCTGCAGAAGCACTCAACATGAAAAGGACAGCTGAGTAGGGAAGTGATGTTTGCTGTGTTTTCTCTGCTAGAGAAATGCAGACACATAGAAGCCACTGTCCCTGACTCTTGAAGAGCCATATGGAAATTTTAACTTGAAACTTGTACAGCAAAACAGAATATAAATACAAGAGCATCCCAGCGTGTGTGTAGACAATGGACAGGTAGCACAGAGAAAGGAGGATTTGACAGATTGGAGGATTTTCCTATCCAGCAAGGGTTTAACTCTTCTAAAATCTCACCAACCAAATAAGACGAGGACATAGCCAACAGACGATGGAAAGGGAAGGAAAGTACTGAGGCATGAGGCAGCATTGTGAACAAAGCAACCCAACAGGAGAACTGAGGACCTACCAAGGAAACTGCCAATAGCCATGGGACATACCTCAAAAGTTCTGGCCAAGAGATGGGACTCAATCCTTTCCCTCCTCAACTTAAAAAGAAAAAAAAAGTAAAAAAGAAAGGGACCTTAGCTTTACATTAGCTTTATAGAGGGTAAAGGCCTACAGAGAGGGGGAATGGAACAAGTCTTTTGAAAGAGGGGCAAAGCGAATACGAGACACAGTTTGTTGGCGAATGATATGGCCAGTGGATCAAACAGAGAGTGGGGCTGGTTAGTAGGGGTCAGGCCAAGTTTAGCTTATAGACACTGGTACAGGAACTACAGTATCCCAGACACAAACACACTACACTGACATGACAGATATCTACTTAGATCAAAGTGAGCTGTAGGATACTATTTCCTGTAATCACAGACAACAGAAAGCCTGTGTAACTACTGGAAGACTGGCGAATGAAATAATCAATGGGTATTACCCATTTACTCAATAATTTACTACTTCTGTTCAACCCTGAGCGTTTATGAATCTGGATCTCAGACCTATTTTCTATGGAATCACATAGCCCAACTTATTTTATCTGGGAAGAAAATAAGTGAAATAATAGATGGTAAGGTCAATCTATTGTTTCTAGACAAAAGTATTTTCCATGGGCATCACTGATGGTCTTGCCTTGCCCATCCTGTACTGCACTTCAACAGTCTGGGCCTGTGGCCATGCATTAAGGATTCCCAAGGGATGTCAGAACCCATACTGTAGCATTTCCAAAGACATAAAAATTTCACCTCTACTCGAGAGAGCATATCCAGAGTAATTGTCTCATTAAATGTCTTTAATGTTGGCAAAGCAAAACAGAAGCAGAGTGGGAACAGAAACAGAGACAGAAGCCTCTGGGGTATGTACACACGGCAGTCTGAAAGAGAACTGGAGTATTCTTTAGAATCCACAGAATGAGTTATATTTTTTAAATGTTAGGGCCACAAAGGAGGAGTGTGGCGGGAAATGTCAGCAAAGGTTCTAGGCTATCAAGAACTGTGGTATTAAGCCCCCACAGTCAAGAACATTTGTGGGTGCTCTGGAAACAATCAGAATCACTGTGCGCCACGAAACAGTGTGTGACACTCAAAGGAGACCCGCCTCAACCCTCTTTTTTCAGTCACTAGACCCAACTAGATTTTCATGGAAGCAAAGCAATCACTGTTACTTTCAGGATAATAACAGGTACATTAACAAGGAAGTGGAGAAGAAGGGAAGCTATCATCTTGGGTAGACTTGGCTTTCTTCCCTGGTGACTTTCAAAATGTCAGTTGTCAGCCCTGAAATGTTTGGACTAGGCACTGAATTGCTACAGGAATATTAGACACTGTTGTCAGAATGTTCTGTGAAGGAGTCTTATTGAAAATCAATAATCCTGGGAAACATTACATCACTTTATATTCTGGTGTAGGAAATTTACTTATGCGTGAGACAATGTCTTCAAAATTAATAGTTTTCTAACCAGGCTGCAGAACAGAATTACCTGAAGTACACTTGGTGGGGGTTGGGGACAGACCAGGCTTAGTGACACATACCTGGAGTTCCAGTACTCAGGAGGTTGCAGCAGGAGCTTGTTTGATGCCAACCTATATGACACAGAGTATATCTGTTTTATTTTGTTCTCTCATACATTACATCCTGACTGCAGTTTTCCCTCCATCCACTTCTCCCAGTCCCTCCCTGCACCTCCTCTCTCCCCCAGATCCACTTTTCCTCCATCTCTGATAATAATAATAATAATAATAATAATAATAATAATAATAATAATAATAA